CAGGTATGCACTACCACACCTGGCATGCTAAAGTAGGATATTTGAATGAATAAATAAATAAATAAATAAATACTCTAAGTCTCATATTTTATAATTAGATTCTAGGTTTGGGGCACTCCACATTTTCTTACTCAGCTGAAAGAATATGTTATTTTTAAAGTCAGTCTAGTTTATCCAATAACTTCAACTTAGCCTTTAATTTGGGGCTTAGTTGTGGATGACCAATTCCACTATTTTATCACTGCACCTTTAACCAGAATATTTAGCCATAATCCTCAGCAAAGCTGAAACAAAGACACTCAGTGTTTCTTTGACTGTCCTCTGACAAAGTCCAATGAAGCCCAGGTATTTCTTGGAATATTTGCATCAACATATCATAGCTGTGATGCATCACATTGTAAACATGAGTGCACCTGAACTTTGCTCTCAACTGTCTAGCTTTTTTCAACCCCTGTAGGAAACTGCTTTTGGAATGAAGAGATATCTGCTGCAGGGGACATGGGAGGAGAAGAAAGAATGTGGTGTGTGAGACAACATTCCTTCCTCTTCCTCTCTATCAGGCCACTAAGAAAGCAAGTGGATAATTTCTTGATAAATATACAGATTTCTAATCAATGACAGGTCACAAGGCAAGTGTTTATTTACAGGGTGCCTCCTCCTTCTGGCTGAGTTCACTGCTTATATTCGTCTCTGTAAAATCTGTATCTCCTCTATAGCCAGAGCAGTGCCTGATACCCATTTGTGGAAGGATTGCTTCATAGAGAGTAGAAGACTGGTTTGTTATCTTTTCTGTGTTATGGATCTTTCTTCCAGAAAGCTTATGAAGGTTAATCTTTTGACCTTTGTTTCCCAAGGAAAGAAAAGCATGTTGGTAGAAGCTTGCAAAAATTGGCATACTGCTTTAAGAAGATCAGAGATGCCTTAAGCAACCCATGGACCTCAAGTTAAAACTCCCCAAAACAACAGAGAGGGTAATAGAAAACTGTTCATACACCTGGTTAAACTCATACCACAACTGAGATGAGGCTGCTAGATAGACTCAATAAATAGCTATGAGTGGGGCTGGGGATTTGTCTTAGTGGCACAGTGGCTGTCTGGCATGCGTGAAGTCCTGAGTTTGGATCCCTGATACCAACAAACAAACAAACAAACAAACAAAAATAGCTATGATTGGGGGTGGGAAAAGCATCTTTGCAAATGTAATGTGCTACAGGGCCAATGTGAATAAGGACTTGCTTGCAGTTTGCATATGTTTAACTTGCCTAGTGTTAGGATGATTTGGAATCATTATCTTCCTTTCTTGGTTTAATGGGCTCAAGGATTTCTATTTTCTCATTAAAATTTCTCCTTCTCAATTCATACTTTGCATTTCTCTGGCATTTACTTTCTTTCTCACTGCTCATTCCTTCAGATTCAAGTTGATTTGCACTCCATTCCACGACCTGAAGTTACTCTAGATCTTGAGAAACTTAACTGGTCTCTAGAAGATTTCAGATGCAAACTCTGACTCAGACCAACTCATAAAATATAGAAATATTTCTTCAAAGTGAATCAGATGCCTGAAAATAATAATTTTTATTTAAGTATTTTGGAAGTGAAGGAGTGGGAATGTTCTAAACCTGATGGCAAATCATATAGAAACTAATTTTGTCTCCTATTGGTTAGAACTTGTTCTTGGGGTGAAAAGTAACACATAAATATAACCAAGTAAGAATTTGATTATAATTTCATTACAAACGAGGTCACTGCTATTTCCCACCACTATCAATTTTCTGTTATTAGTAGAAGAGTGTGCCCCAAGGTGAGCAAAAATAATTTGTAGTCCAAACAGCCCAGCAAATTTTCCTTTCAGATTTTGTGTTTGTTTAGTAGGTTCCTTGCAATATATATATATGTGTGACTAAAATTATTTTAACAGCCTTAATTGTATTACAATGACAAAGATTCTGTAGATCTTGTGAAAACACATTCCTCTGTTCTGTATGAGTTTAACTCCCTTTCAGTGGTTGATATTTGAACCTCTTTCATTTATAGTAGATTCAGCTACACAATTCACAAAGTGCCTAAACAGGTCCAGGAGGGGTTAAAAAACACACTACCAGTGTAAAAACTGCCACCCTATTGCATAATCTATGGAATCTTGTAGCTGAATATGGGTTCTTATGAAATTTTAATCGAGTAAGGAACATAATATACGATTGGGAAGTAATATAAAGGAATTTTACAAACTACTAAATCTGTGTATTTTGTTCTATAATTCTATTGTAATTTACAGCAAAGGAAATTTCCAGATGCTTAATGTTTTACTTTATATTGTACATTTCCCTGTTTCGTGACGAAGTGAGGATGTTCAGATGGTTTCTCTTTTCGTCTTTTCTTTTCCTTCCTTCCTTCCTCCCTCCCTCCCTCCCTCCCTCCCTCCCGGTTTGGTGGTAGTGGGGATTGAACTCAGGGACTGCTGAGCTACATCCCCAGCTGTTTCTTACCCAGGTTGACCTCTAATTTGTCATCTTCCTGCCTCATCCTCCAGAGTAGCTGGAATTCCAGGCATGTACCACCAAGTCCAGTTGGGGGGTAGTTTTCAAAATGTATCATGACACTATTTCAAATACTAAATAACAGGGGATACCACTGAGACATATATTTCATATATTTCAATATATTTCATATATTACATAGCATTTCCACACAGGGAAATACTATTGTAACTAGGAGCAGCATATAATTTAGTAAAAACACAATTATCAGATAGTTTTTTTGATAATTTTGAATGCTGATATGGTCATGTTACATTTTTTGATCAGAGTAGGGCAAACGTTAAAAATTTGCGTTTTTAGTCAGTAAAATTTGAAGGACAAAATGAAAAAATCCAGGTTTCTATGCTGCTGCAAGTTATGGCCAAAAAACCAATCCATCAAAACACCTTTTCAAAGAATTTATTTCTCAAAATGACAGGCAAGGGTGGGGTTGGGAAGGCCACTGAATTTCCAAATATTTATTTAGATATAATCAATGGGCAGTGCAAGGCCTGATGGAGAGAGGCAGAGGCCATGGAATCCCAATCTAGGGAAATTCACAGTCTAGGTCGTCACATTTTGGGACACCCTTCTTTGCTTCACCTAATCAGGGGGAATATGATTAACAAATATGATTGCAACAAAGTAAAGGGGAAAAGTCACAAAAGGGGATAGCAGTATTGAGGGAAAGGGGAAAAGGCCTTGCCATTCTCGACTTGTTAATTAGGGTTGGAACAGTAATGGGGTATTTCTGGTACCCTGAGTTTGTAGAGTTATTACACAGGTTCAGGGAAAATGAATACACTGTGATCCACCCAGTTTTCTTAGTAGGGGGTTCTGCCTGATGTGTTCCAATTTCCTCTTCCCACATTAAGTAGTGATTAACAGGGCGGGTGAGGGGGTGTCTCCAAAGCTGTTTACCCCAACTCAAAGGCTGCGGGGTTTCAATAGTCCGTGGCCTGTCGGGCAATCAGAGGTTTCAGTCTTTCCTTCTTAATGTGTGGGGCTTTTACTATTATAAAGGGACTTCCCTTGAGACTTGTTACAATAGCCTGTGTGGGTATAGAAATTTGAGGGTAGTTTCCAGTTCTGCTTTGCCATCTTGGGTTGACTCTGAAAAGCTTTCTCACCTCTGATGGGAGGAAAATGGTCATAGGGTTGATTCATTACTATGTGGAAATCAGGCTGATAACTGGGCAACCTGAATCAGATGTTCTGACTGAAAGAAGGTAGGGTCTGGTGACACGTTCCAATTCTAGGTCTGCAGGTAGAATTTTGAAAAAAGCCCACCCCAGAGAGACCTGCAAGAAGGTCTCCTTTGCTGAGAGCTTCTCTCCCCAACCTTGGCCCTTCAAGTCCAGATGAGGTGGCCAAATTCACAGGGAAAGGCTCTGTAAATTATATACATGTACACAACAGATTGATTTTTGTGATTTATAATTATCTTTGGAGACATGATAACAAAACGAAAATTAAAACAACTAGAATAGCTCTAAAACCTTGTCCATGTGGCTGTTGGTATCAATACTCCAAACAAGATTAAAATTATTTCCCAAGATGCACACCCTGCGTTCCAATTGATATTTTAATAACATGATTAAAAATTTCCCATTAGTCTATTAGAGTCAGGAAACGGTCTGCGGTGTAGGTGAGGATTTTTGTTTTTGCAACGGAAATTTTGGCTCCCATGAATAGGTAGCAAAAACTCATTTACATGTGCTCTTTCCTCCATCTTTGCCTAATTCAAAAGTAAAAAGTGGAAACCTGTTTGGAATAGGGCATTTTGGGCTTGCTTTTTTTCCCCTCTTAAAACATCTAGGTAGATTCACAGGATCCAGTTTTTAAATTATCTTGTTTTGAGTTTGATCCCGGATACCAAAAAAAAATTATCTTCTGTTTTCCACTCCAAATAAATTCAGATGCTCCAGCACTGTCAGAGAGAGAGTTTTAAAATTTTATTTTAAATTGCTGCCTCCCAAGGCTGGAGTGAGGATGAGGGATAGAAAGTATAGTATTTTAATTAAAAGAATCAATAACTTGGGGGGTTTTAGGATATGATTTGCCATTTCTTCATTAAGAAATGAGTTTGACAGTCCTTTGGCCAGCTCATTCATTGTAGACACTGTGAAAACCCCAAAGGGCTGGTCGCTGTACAAGCGACGAAACTCCATTCCCCGAGAGACCCCAGGCAGCCTGTCTCCGCCGCCGCGCGTCCCTGGCGTCTTCCCCCCTCGCAGACACCAAGCCCGTGTCCTCCAACTCAGCACGGCGCGGGGCCGGCCGCCTCAGGCTCGCCGCCACCAGGTCGTGCAGATACCTTTCCCTCCCCGGGGCCCCAGCGCGCGGCCGCCTCCCTGGCTCCCTCCCTCTAGCCGGCCGGGCCTGCTCCGCGCTCGGGACCAGCAGCCCGGGAAGCGGCTGCAGGAAGCGAAGCCCTTGTTGATGCTGTTCCGTGACGCGTCTCTCCGCCCTCCGGCGGCCGTGCCGCTCTTCCCGGCTGCCGCACTCCCCCCTCCGCGCCTGCGCATTGCCCCGCGGGGGGGCGGGGCTCAGATTTCTGTCAGCGGCGGCGGCGGTGGCGGCGACCGTCAGTTTTCGCTGAGGAGAAGCACGGAACGGACCCGTTGGTTCTCTCCCCTCCCTTTCCCCGCCCCGAACCTCTCTCCTGGCTCTCCAGGAGTCAGTCCCCGTGGAGTTTCCCTCCGTCCTGCCGTCGTTTCGTCGGTCCTCGGCCCGGTGGAAGTCAACTGCCCTCGAGGAGGAGGCAGCGGCAGCCCGCTCTAGCCGCCCCCGGTTCGGTGCCCGCGGTCCCCGAGAGGAGGTGCCGCCGCCACCGCCGCTCCCCCCCTCCCGCTGCCTTCGGGCCGGGCTGGGTCGAGCTGCGATGCCCTCGGACTTCATCTCATTACTCAGCGCGGACCTAGACCTGGAATCGCCCAAGTCCCTGTACTCGCGAGGTGAGTCAGGCTGGGGGGTGGGGCGTGGGGGCGGGGAGGGCCGGCGCCCGGGCGCCCCGGGGGTCCGGATCGGGCGGGGGAGGTTCTCAGGGGCCCGGGGAGCCCCCGGGGACGGGTTGGGGTACGGGGAAGAGTCGGGGTGCTGCGCGGGGGCCGGCGGAGGAGTGGCGGCCCCTCCCCCGCCGACGCGCGGGCCGCTCGGGGCCCTGATTCTGTCGGCACGGAGCGCTCGGAGCGGCGCCGGTCCCTGCGGTCCAGCTGCGGTCCTCGCGCCGCCTCCCGCGGCTCCTAGCTCGGGGATCACCCGGCCTGGGCCAGCGCCCGGGATACCCCTCCCCAACAAAGTTGCCCCCGCGCCTGGCGGCCTGGCCGGGAGCCGGTTCTGGGGCAGGGTGACCATTTTGCTCCCCCTCCGGCTTGTTTGTGCGACGTAGCATTGACCCCCTCTCTCTCCGGCCTAGTACACTCCCTCCCCACGTCGGGACGGCCCCCCTCAACCGGGCGCTCTTCATTTGCTCGTCATCTTCTTGCTGAAAAGGGCCCGAATTTTCTTTCTCATTTTCCCACCTCTGTGGCATTCTGATTACTTACCCCTTCCTCTTCTTCTTCGCTCTTTTTTTTTTAAGATCGAGGTGCTCTCACTGGATTAGTTTTATCCCTTTCTTTTCCCCGGAGTACCAGGCTCAGGCACAGACGTTGTCCTTTGAGAATTTTTTCTTTTCTTTTCTTTTTCTTTTTCTTTTTTTTCTTTTCTTTTCTTTTTTTTTTTTTTTTTTTGCTCTGCAAGGGCTTCTTGCAGGGAGGGGGCAGTGGGCAGAGATTCCCATTTTAAAACTGTTGTGGCTAAGATCTGCAGGGATTCCCATCATCTAAAATACTAACACTTGAGCTTTCTTTATTGGCGTTAAATTCCTATACTGGACGCTACAAGAATGTTTCAGAACAGGTACCCTGTGTGAGGGGTATCAAACCCGAATACCGCGCCCATCACTCTGTACACCACTGGGAGAGGGCAAAAGACATAACTGGGTTGTTCACTATTCATTTCACCTTATTTAAAAGTGTGTCGTTGTGAAACCTTTATCTGAAAAATTGCTGTGTTTCTTCTGTTTTGGGTTTTATGTGTCCATCCGCTGATTCCACCCCCTCCGAGGTGGGGGTTGTTTCACATTTAAATTAAGTGAATCAGAGTAAGATAGTTTACTCTGGAAGGTACTGGATTTTAGAGACTATTGAACTTGTACACAGAGTCCTACTTAGTAATTATAGCCATTATCTGTTGCTCCGATGATTTTAGTTGCCATTCACTATCCCGTAGGATGTTTTTCGGATCTTACCTGAAGTAGTTTAGAAATGACAGTTTTTTGGGTGTCAGAAAGAAGAAACAGTATCGAGAGATATTTCTTAGAGCAGGGATAATGTGGTACAGTTGGGTGCTAAAAATAGTCAAGACACTAAAACCATTGGGCAGTAATCCTCAGATAATTTTCCATGAAACAAATGCTTTAGCAAAATCTAAGTTTAGCTTAGAGATTGATGTAGAAGCAATTCAACCTTTCTTTTGCAAGGAATATATACACAAATACGGTCTTTGGCTCTTAAAAATACCTGATAGTTATATAAGAGATGTATGCTATCCTTGGCATTTTTTTTCTCATTCAGCATTAAAAGTACTTAATGCTTTTTGTGTTTTTCAGATTCTCTGAAGTTACACCCATCACAGAATTTTCATAGAGCTGGACTATTGGAAGGTCAGCAAAGTGCCATTTTAAAGCATATTGTGTTAGTGTGCAAAGGCTTTCTCTGAAAGGCAATTTAAATGGGAAAGTGTGAAACTTTGCAAACTCACACAATGTAATTTTCTCCTAAAGAGCCTGATCCTTCTTTTAGAGCAGCTAAATGTTTCAGTGGACTGTGTTGCTGTGTTTGAAGTGCTTGTTGCATCTGCTTTGAGAGGTTAAGAAAAAAAAAACCCATAAAAAAATCATTTTAATTATGTGTTCGGTGTTCTACTTTAGAATCCCGGATCTTAATTCCATCCTTTTTATACACAAACTGAATATGAAAAGGCTCAAACATTAAAATGATGAATTAATAACTAAAAGACTGACACCAAACACATTCTTACAGTATTTTGAATTTAGAACTTTTGTATGTTGAGCATTTCAAATGGATGTATTATTTATTTACAGAAACGTTGATCTCATTACGATTGCATTATATTTAAGAATAAGAAAAGCTAAGTAGGGCTGAGGCTGTAGTTTAGTGACAGAGTACCTAGCATGCAGAAGCCACTGGGTTCAATCCCCAGTATATCACAGAAAGAAAAAGAAAAAAGCTAAGTAATAGATGATGATTACACTATATTAGGGCAAAAGTGCTTTAGAATGCTCCGGAAATATTAAAATCTGTAGAATGAACGACTGACAATTTAAAAAACTTGTGGGATTTTTTTCATCATTTTTTTTCTGTAGACTTTGTAGATTTCATATTATCTTTTCAGAACCTTATAATCATAGAATTGGATAGCAAGGATATTAATTTTCCCATTACAAAAATTAAGAGATTAGGTTTGCAGAGTCCCACAGTAGCAGAAACAATCCTTTCTGTGTTTTAATGTTCCTTACCTAAAGTCAAGCTACCATTATGAAATGTATATAACCAGTGACTTAAACATTTTATGGTCCACTTAACAGAGGTCCTCAATAGTTAAGTTTGACTGGAGTATGTTTTTGCCTCTCAAAGGTAGTCTGGATAGGGGGAAAGTGGATGTTGTAATTGGCTTTAAGTTTAAATACCAATTTAGTGATTAAGTAGCTCTGTAACCTTGGGCAAGTAATTTTACTTCCTTAAACTTGTATATTCTATGTGTAAAAGAGGTTATCTCTTTAGTTTAGTGAGCTAAGGTATATAAAGTGCTTGTGGAATCTGGCTTAATAAATTTTTTTTCTTTTATGTCATCTAAATTGTTTTAACAGTATAATTTAGACCACGTAAAAGGTTCTCAATTAATTAGTTATTATATTTGTTCATATAAGAAGCCCTAGCTTTACATTAATATGAAAATAAAATATTTTTGTAATTGTAATCTGAAGAGAGAAATATTTAGAAGTGGTTTTTTTGGTACCAGGGATTGAACTCGGGTCCTTGTGCTTGCAAGGCAGGCTGCGGAACCACTGAGCTAAATCCCCAGCCCTAGAAATGTTTCTTAGTGAAGCAGATTCCTAGTTTTTTTATTTTGGGGGCTTTTTTGGTACTGGGGATCATCGAACTCATGACCTCGCACTTGCCAGGCTACCACTGAGCAATATCCCTAGCCCTTGTTTGTTTTTTGTTTTTGAGACAGGTTCTCACTATGTAGTTCAGACTGACCTTGAACTCACTATGTATCCTAGGCTGGTTTCAAACTCTCAGCGATCCTCCTGCTACAGCCTCCTGAGTGCTTGGATTACATTTCTGGTTTTTATTCCTACTGTTTAATTTGTCATCATGTTGTAGAGTCATTTGTGTGTACCACTCCATCTATTTTCTGGGCAACAACCAGAGTGTCCTAATCATAGAGAACATCAGGCAGGAGAAAGACATGAAAAAAGTGTTAACTATTGAAATAAATTTCTTAATGAGTTGATGAAAACACAACCACTTATTATGCATATTTATGTATTTGTCCCTGTATTTGCTAATTTTCATTTTAGTTGAGAGGATCCTCAGTAATTTGATAGTACTTTTTTTTCTTTTGGTACAGGGGATCGAACTCGGGTCCTTGTGCTTGCACAGCAGGCAGTGAAACCACTGAGCTAAATCCCAGGGCCTGATACTCAGTAATTTAAGACAGTCCTTTTATAGGTTATCCGTAAGATGCAAAAATGTGTAAGCATCAAGTATGTCATGTCCTGTTTGAATTTTTGACACAAGGTGTCATAACAAAGATGTTTGTTTAATGAAGTATTTAAACTATGCCACCCTGTTGTTATTTTTTAACCTTAATAATTTGGGCATTTTAAAGAATACATAAAAGTAGAGAGAATAAAACAATGAATCCCCATACCCATTACCAAGCCTTAGGAATTACCAATCTAATCTTGTTTCTTTTAGCTCTTCCTCTCCCTCCAACTGGATCATTTTAAAACAAATATAAGATGTCATAGCACATTTCATACATAAGTACTTCATTATAGTCACTTTCTTTTTTTTTTTGGTCTCTGCATACTGAGGCTTAAATTTAGAGTCTCATGCGCATGTTAGGCAAGTACACCATCACTGAGATATATATCCCCAACCTGACCCTTTTCATATATAAATTGTTTTGTTTTGTTTTTTGAGACAAGGTCTCACTTTGTAGATCAGGCTGGCCCTGAACTCATTATGTAGCCCAGGCTAGCCTTGAACTTTTGGTGATCCACCTGCCTCTGTCTCCTGAGTGTTGGGATTACACATGTTCGCCACCAGGCCTGGCTCTTATGTTACATTTTTGTTGTTTTTGGTACTGGGGATTGAACTCAGGACCTTGTGCTTGCGAGGTAGGTGCCGGAACCACTGAGCTAAATCCCCGGCCCTCTTGTATTACATTTTTAAAAATACATTTTAGGGCCAGGGATTTAGCTCAGTGGTTCCGGCGCCTGCCTTGCAAGCATAAGGTCCCGAGTTCGATCCCCGGTACCCAAAAAAAAAACAAAAACAGAAAAACCAAAAAATACATTTTATTCCAGGAATTACATTTTCTTGTTTATTTCAGCAAAGTCTCTTCTGGGTCTGCTGCCCTCTATATCAGGAGGCTACTTTTGCCTCGTGTACATGTATCTTAGAATCTATGACAAAGTTGTGGTCTAGGCTATAAGATTTGTGTTAAATCCTTATTCTGATATTTACTTTTGTGTAGCTTTGGCCTAATCATTTAATATTTTTGTATTTTAATTTTCTCATCTTTATTTTTATTTTTTATTTATTTAATTTTTTGGATTTTTGAGACAGAGTCTTGCTATGTAGTTCAGGCTGGCCTTGAATTCAGAATGATTCTCCTGCCTCACCTTCCTGAGTGCTGGGGTTACAGGTGTGCACTACCACGCCTGGTGAATTTTCTCATCTTTAAATGGAGAGAATAATATCTTCATCCTAGGTCATATAAAGTATTTGATTTAGCACATAGTTTAAACATTTTAAACAACAAATACCTATAGAGTGTTTACTATGTGCCAAGAACTTTACAAATACACTGAATTTTCATAACAACTCTTTGAGATGGTTATGAGCAATTATCCTATTTTAGAGATGAGGAAATGAAGGCATAGGGAAGTTCAGTAGGTTACCTAGAATCACATAACTAGTAAGCTGTGTTTGTAAATTGGGTAGTCTCACTTGAGAGTCTGTGTCTCAGTGTTATATAAAAAATGTTTTCTAGTAATATGTATTTATGCATGCATGCTTTACATCAGTCATCTAGATTTCCGTATAATAAAAACACCCCAGAGTGAGGGAGATTTAAGTACTGGTATAATAAACTTAATTATTTTAATAGAACATACATTTTCCAAATTTAAGTTCTTTTAGGGAAACAAGTTAGAAAACCTGAGATTGGTTATATTAAGCTTTAGAAATAGATTCAGAATGTTTGCTGTCAGCTGAGTTTGCATTTAACCTATCTACTAAACCATGCTGGTCCTTCATGCCACTACTCTTTTTTGGTAGGGGATCAGGGATCTAACTCAGGACCTTGCAGTTTCGAGGTGGCAGCGGCACCGCTGAGCTAAATCCCAGGCCCTCCACCTTTTAATTTAATGTGGTGATTGCATGACAGTGGGAAAAAGAAGTCTCGCTTTAACTAATTAATGAAAGTAATCTAGTCATTAAACTATTGTTTCTAATGAACCCGTATGTGACACTCTTAATAAAATATAAAAACGATACCTTTGCAATTATGTTAGCAATGTCTTCTATTTAATACAAAATATTTTGGACAAAAGTATACACACAGTTTTAGGATTTTTTTTCAGGGGTACTGGGGATTAAACCTAGGAGCTCAAGCAAGCTAGGCAAGTGCTTTACCACCAAGGTCCCCTTTAAAAAATTAGAAAAAATTGTTTTTCAGATACTGGGGATTGAATCCAGGGCCTTTGCACTGAACTACATCCCTAGCACTTTTTTTTTTTCTTTTTCTGAGATAGGGTCTCACTTTGTAGTGCAGGCCGGCTTTGAACTCACTGTGTAGCCCAGACTGGCCCCAAACTCCCAAGGGATCCTCCTGCCTCAACCTGCTGAGCACTAGGATCAAAGGCACGCTCCACCACACCTGGCCTCCAACATTTTTTATTTTTTATTTTGAGACAGGGTTTTTGCTAATTAGTAAGTTGCCCAGGCTGGACTTGAACTTGGAATCTTCCTGCGTCAGCCTCCCAGAGTGTTGGGATTATAAGGGGGTGTCACCAACCCCACCTCCCAAACTTTACTTTGTTTTTAATTTTTATCTGAAGACACAGTCTCCCTGAACTGCTCAGGTTGGCCTCCAACCTCAGCCTGCTAAAATACCTGGGATTGTAGGTATGTGCTGCAGTACCTGGCCAAATTTTTAGTGTTTTTTTTTTTTTTAATCGATTTTTGTATTTTCCCTATTTTCTTTATAGAACGTGTGTGTGTGTGTGTGTGTGTGTGTGTGTGTGTGTTTTGTTGTTGTTGGAGTTTTTTCTTGCTTTTTTGAGACAGGGTCTCGATATGTAGTTCACTCTGGACTTGAACTCACTATGTAACCCAAGGTGAT